GACTCCTCAGATACTGCAAGCACTCAAAGTGAAGCGAATGGTCATCAGGCAGAGAATACTGCAACACCTGCACAGATTGAATCACCAAAGAACACTCCCAATACACCCACTAAGGTGACATCACCCGCAATACCAACAATACTGCAACCTCCTTTGCCTGCAAAGAGCGAGACCAAACCACCCAAGAAGCGTAAGGCAGACAGCAGCAGTGTCAGTTCTGTGTGGGTACGTGTGCCACTAATGATTCTGGCTGTGTTGTTCTCCGCTACCGTGTACTGAACGGTGGGACTCACTTGAGAGCAAATAATAATAATGGTTAAACTAACATAATCATAATTGCGTATATACCCCATGGGTGAAAAAACTAATAATATGTTTACCAGCTTTCTCTTTTAATTCGAATAACTTTTACTTTTGTGTGTGTGTGTTCTTTTTCTTATAATTCCATTACTTGCTTTCCCCGTTGTGTGTGTTTGCAGAAAACTGGGCTGTTCTGCTCACTGACGGTATACATCTCTTGCTAGTACACACAGATGTGTGTGTGTGCAGTAATTTAATATACATAAACTAGAGCCATGGGGTATTGTGTGTGTATTTGGGTGTTTGGCTCTCACTCTTATTTGGGTATTGTGGGGTGTTCTCTTTTTTTTTTCTATTAAGGGGTACATATTATCATACAAGTAGAATATTCCTTTTTGTTGGTTTACTGTACTGTTGTTCTCCTCTCTCTCTATTCCACTGTGAGTATTTGTGTCCTGCATCCACTCACTATTTATGCCTCTTTCTCTTCTTCTTCTTTCTTGTATTGGTCTATGAAAGTAATCCACAACAATGACAAAGACTGTATTGATGAGGTGCTACCTGCTTTGTTTACAAACTCTTGCACTGTGTTGTGCTTGTGGGTTAGTATGGGCTGATAATCCCAAAGCTTCTGATGCCTTTATTAAACCTTCCACTGTTGGTGTTCCTTCTCTTGTTCGTCGTGCCGTCACTGCGCTTTTTTTCACTCCTTTCTGTGGATATGAAGAAGAAGTAAAAACAAAATGGGGGGAGTTCGAGGAGGAGGAGGAGAAAAAGGGTCAGGAGGCTCCTGGTAATTCAGATTCTTTGGGTGGA